ATATCCTAAAGCCTAAACCCCTAAACCCCTAACCCTGAACCCTGAACCCGAAACCCCTCAACCCTGAACCCTAAACCCTAAACCCCTAAACCCCTAAACCCTACACCCCTAAACCCCTAAACCCGAGTTGAGGCTTCGGGCTCCGAGGACGACAGGATTTCGGGAGCGTTCTCGCGGCCAACCGACTCAGAGTCCGATTTTGGACTGAGCCGACCTCTACAGCAGGTTTAGGGTATAGGTTTAGGGTTTCGGGTTTAGGTTTAGGGTTTCGGGTTTAGGGTTTAGGGTTTAGGGTTTAGGGTTTAGGGTTTAGGGTTTAGGCTCTACGGCAGGTCCTACGGTTTCGAGTCTCGGGACGTCTAGGGCTCTGAGCATTAGCCGTTTGGGAGCTTCGAGCATGGCGTTCTGAGTTTGAGTCGGAAGGTTTGAGCAGGGCACTCAAGCTCAACCATAGGGTTTGGGATTTTGAGTTCAACATGTAGGGTTCCCTCCACACGCAACGCAAATGCTTAAAACCTCACACCCCTGTATTCTTTCAATCTGAACCCTAAGCGATCAAAGAAAAGGAACCCTCAAGCCAAAAGCGAACTGCCAAGCCTCAACCCAAACTCCAAATCCCTGAAGACCTCAACCGTCAACCCTAGGCCCTAAACCCTAAACCCTAAACCTAAACCCTAAACCGTAAACCCCAAACCCTAAACCCTACACACTAAACCCTAAACCCTAAACCCTAAACTGCCACTTTCCCAAATCCATGGCGGGCCTGTTGCGGCCAGCAGGAAATCCGGGGGCGCGCGGAAGGTGAAAGACTCGGACAGCTCCTGACAAAGGGTAATGAGTGTAAGGGCCTCAATATGAGTATAATGAGGAACCCAAAGAAATGATGTTGGTAAATATTTAGGCGGTATAGTAGGAAGTAAGGTTTAGATGAGTTCACTTCAGATGAGTTCACTTCAGTATTTGGGCTTAGGTTTTAGGCTTTTGAACTAACATAGGGGCCTGATTAAATCACCTATACTATTTCGGGGGTTCCTTATTATACATATAGTATACTATCCCCCAAAACCCTATTCGAATTATTAAGGCCCCTACATTATATAACATTATACCCTAAACCCTAAACCCTAAACCCTGAACCCATATAACCTAAATTCCGGCTTGGACTGGGGCTCTGGATTCAGGGCTTTCACCACGGACTTCCGGCTCTAGCGCTTTTGGCCTTGCAGAGGTAAATGCTGATAAACGGGGATGCGAAAGAAGCCCGCCCAAGTCCATCCTCAGGGTCTAGGGTTTAGGGTCTAGGAGGTTTAGGGTTTCGGGTTTAGTGTCTAGGGTTTAGGGTTTAGGGTTTAGTGTTTAGGGTTTAGGGTTTAGGGTTTAGGGTTTAGGGTTTCGGGTTTCGGGTTTAGTGTCTAGGGTTTAGGGTTTAGGGTTTAGGGTCTAGGGTTTCGGGTTTAGGGTCGAGGTTTAGGGTTTAGGGCTCGGGGGTTCAGGACTTCACATCTCCAAACCCTTCACCCCCAGACGTTTAAGATAGGGGCCTTAATATTTAAAATAGGGTTTTTTGGGGGGGATATTATACCACCATTATAATACGGAGCCCCCAAAATAGTATTGGTAATGATTTAGGCCCCTATATGAACACCTTTCCCTTGAACCTCAAAAGCCCATAACTCCCTCAAAGAACCCATCTGCGCCTCAATGACGAAGCTGACGTCGACCATGAACCACTGGCCAACCTCTCGAGACTTTGAAGTAACCAGGGAGAAAA